TGTTTGTGTGTGTGTGTGTGTGTGCGAGTGTGTGTGTGTGTGTGAATGTGTGTGTGTGCGAGTGTGTGTGTGTGTGTTCGTGCGCGTGTGCGTTCGTGCGTGCGCCGGGCGCCTCCTCCCTTCCCCCTCGCGCATCGCGGCTCAATTCGCGTTCGTATGCCCTGCCAATGTTTTTCCGCCAGCGCAGTCATTCTGCCGAGCCGCCGACGCAAAAAGTTTGTGTTTGTGTTTGTGTGTGTGTGTGTGTCGGCGGCGAGCGAGGGGGGGAACTGAGAAGGAGAAGGCCTTTTCAGAAGGCGGCGGGACTTCTCAGAAGTGGACTCTTCAGCGCGTCGGAGTGAGCATCAGTGTGTGTGTGTGTGTGTGTGTGTGTTTGTCTGTGTACGTGTAGGCCCCTAGGTCTCGGCGCTTTGGCTCATCCCTGGGACCGTCAGCTCTGCCGGCCCACATTGGTGTGGTCTTCGCTTCGCCTGTGCTGCTCCCCCTTCGGCCCGCCCGGCCGCCGCTTGGCTGCCGTCCCCCCCCAGCTGCTGCTCAGCGCCGTTGCTGGTCCCCCCCCACGGCGCTTCCCCCTGCCGCAGCCACTGACTGGCCTGACCGGGCCCGGCTTCCCCTCTCCCCGTCGCGCCTGGGGCCTCCTCCTCCTCCTCCTCCTCCCTCGTGCAACGCGGCATTCATTTGCATACAGTGCGCCCCCTGATGCCAGTTCGCCCGAGCAGTCACCCTCTGCCCAGCCGCCGACGCAAAAAGTGTGTGTGTGTGTATGTGTGTGTGTGTGTGTTTCGCGGGACGTCCGCTTGTGCGGCCGACTTCCTCCTCCCCGTCAACCACGACCGGTTGGCTATGCGCCGTCACGCTGGCTGCGCGCCACGTCCCCGCGTGGGATGTCCCGCGTTGGGCTGGGCCGTCCCTCTTCGCCATCCCTGCCCGGAGCCCCCAGGTGCAACCGCGGCGGCTAGCGCGGCGATTCAAAGCGATCTCGCTTGAGGGCTCGGCCGCGCTCGCCGGCTCCGCTGATTCGACTTATTCCGCCTCGTCGCCGCGCGCGGGGCCGCTACCGCCCAAAAGAAACTGTGTGTGTGTGTATGTGTGTGTCTCTTTCCGCTCGCCCTTCCTCTCCCCCCTTCGCGGGGCAGCAAAGCCTACCCAGGGCAGCGTGGCGACTTCTGCCAGCGTGAATTGTCGCCCGCACTCGCCTGACTGACTGACTCCGCTGCGTCGCTGCGTGCGCTGTCGCGACGCCAAAAGAGTGTGCTTGTGTGTGTGTGTGTGGGTGGGTGGGGGGGGGGGCGACGCCCGGTCACACCCGCGGCGACCCCACGCTCCTCTACAGTGGAGACCCATGCCAAGAAACACCCCGCTTGCCTCCAGGGTGCCTTGAGTTTCTTGGGTCTCGATGGTTTCGCGATGGGAAGCGCGACGTTCCCACACCAAAAATCAATGGACATCCTGGGGTCTCAGGGTTAGGTTTCTTGTGGAAGGTTATGGGCTGCTTGGACTACTCTCCAGGCTAGCTGCCCCCTCTTGCATCTGCTTCCAGCTCTCGGGTTCCCACACGCTCGAGCCGCGTCGCGTTGTACAGCTGGGCTGTTGGCCGAATTCTTGTATTCGTCAATGGCGCATACAGTAGTGCTGCACCCGGCCGCTGTCGCGTCGCACCCTCTGGTGGGTTGCCAGGGAGCAAGACCTGTGCGCTTCCACTCCTCCTTTGATTATATGTGCCAGGTGTTTCCGTACGTTTCGGCACCTGCATGGCCAACCCGTTTTGTTCCACGTGCGTCCGCGGTCTCGCATTTTCATGCGCGCGTCTGCTCTCGTCCAGGCCACCCATGGTCGATGAGCGAATCGCGCCCCGCCTGAGCTCTCGCCGTGGTGATGCCCCCCGGCCGCTGTAGGAAATGATGTATGTGTGTTTGAGAATATGGACGGTGGGTGTGTGGGTGGGTGCGTGAGTGGGTTGGGGTGCGGGGAAAGGATGATGGTGTGTAAGTGCATGTGGTTGTGTATATCTATATGTATATGGATACACCTATGTATGTACTGAGAAAGAGAGAGAGAGAGAGAAACAACAATTATCCCAGTGCGACCCTACCTAGGAGTTGGAGCCTCTAGGAAATCAACATTAGTAGGAGCGGTAAACGCCGTCCTCCTCCATCTCCTCATCGTCGTAGTTGTAGCAGTAGCGGTAGTAGCAATAGTGGATGCTGTGCTGCGCTATGCTATGCTATGCTCTGCTATGCTGCGCTGTGCTATGCTTTGCTGTGTTGTGCTGCGCTATGCTATGATATGCTGCGCTATGCTATGCTACTCTATGCTATGCTATGCTGTGCTCTGTTATGCTAAAACTCAGCGAAGCTAAGATGAAGGTAAGCTAAGCTCAGATAAACCTGTGCTAAGATGAAGCTAAGCTAAGCTAATACGAAATATGCTAAGCTAAGATGAGATAAGCAACGCTAAGCTAAGGGGACACAACTGGGGGAACCGCGGGGCGAATCCTGGGGGAACCGCCCGGGGTGATTTACACTGCCCGGCCCCTTTAAGCTCAGAGAGTAAGAACCCTTCTACGCAGAGCCTAGGTAGGGAAAAAGAGAAAGAAAGAAAGAAAAAAAGAAAGAAAAAAAAGAGAGGCAATAAGAGAAAGAGAGAGAGAGAGAGAGAACGAGAGAGAGAGAGAGAGAGAAAGAGGGTGTGAAATATCGAGAGAGAGGGAGACATGAGGCGAGCTAGGTGCGCTCGCGCCATCTGGCGGCCTACCCCTCCCTCCCATCCTTCCCCATCGTGCTATGTGCAGTCGGAACAGAGATAAGCAGGATGACAAGGAGGATGAGGAAGGAGGAGGACAAAGACGAACAGCAGCAGCAGGAGCTGGAGTGGAAGGAGCGGGGGGAGCAGGAGGACCAGGAGAAGGCGGATGAGGGAAAATGAGGAGGCAACAGCGATGGAAGAGGACGCGGGTTTGGAAGCGTAGCCCGCGTTGGGGCGAGAGCGCCACTGAACGACGGGAGCAAAGCGCCGATCCGAGAATGAGTCCCACGCCGCAGCGGGAGCACCGTTTCGAAACACCGATAACGATCGGATTGCACACACCAGCAAGAACGACGACTGTTTTAGAATCTCCGGTGCAAGAAAAACAGGGCACGCGGAGAGAGCCGACCATCTCCCAGACGGAGTCAGGGGAGAGGGGAGGGTATTGTTCATGGTTTGTCCGAGGCAGGAATTTACACATGACCACCGCCTGCAGGATCAATTCTCGGGGACCTCGGCAGGCAGTGGATATGGACATAGTCGGGCCCCCGGGGCCAAAATATATCCATATCCACCGCCCGCCCGGGCACCAGGGCGTCGGTTCCCAGGCGGTGGATATGGATAAATCCACGCCTTTCAAGTTGTGATTGCAGAGGAGACGAGGGGAGAGGGACGGAGAGAGAGAGAGAGGGAGCGCGCGAACAACGCGCGCAAGGCACCACCAGGCTTACGTCGGGCATGTCCAGGGGGAATAAACCCTACTAATTGGTCCGTTGCCCCCCCCTAATTCCTATGCCCGCCCTAATTCCTATGGCTATGCCTATGCCTACGCCTACCCCCTAACTCCTATGTCTACGCCTATGCCTATGTCTTTGCCTATGCCTATGCCTATGCCTATGCCTATGCCTATGCCTATGCCTATGCCTATGCCTATGCCTATGCTCGCTTGCGCTTGCTTGCTTCCGCTCGCTTGCTTGCGCTTGCTTGATTTTGCTCCCTCCCGTCCTCCTCCCGCCCTGCTTTCGTCCTCCTTTCGTCCTCCTCCCATCCTCCTCTCGTCCTCCTCCTGTCCTCCTATCTATTTGGAGTCAACGCTGGCTGATATTTTCTGACTATTCTTATTCTTCGTCCAAGATCCCCCTGTGGGGGTACAGGCCCGACCTAACAACAGGCTGGAGAGGTCGGGCCCCCTCCGCGGCGCGCAGCCGCCGCTCTGCCCGCTCCCCGCGGGCAGCGCCCGGGGGGAGGCCGCGGGTTCTCTCGCGGCGGCTGGCCACCGAGCTCGTGGCTGGGGATCGACGGGTTCGGTACGGCCGGACCGAGGTGTAATCTCGACTACATGTAAGAGTGACCCTTCGCCGGAGTGACCTCTCGTGCGGGATCACTGGGCCCCCCCCGATCGCTGAGCGCGACGTGATAGCAGCGGCCTGCGCGCCTGGGCTTGGCCCCCTCGCGCTCCCCAACAGCCGCGCACCAATGGCCACTCTTGCCCGGGGTCACTCTTACGTCTAGCCGATAAGTCGGAGGTTGGTAGACCTCCTGCCCTGACACGTCGGTCAGCGAGTTGGCCGATCTCGGTTCGCGAGGGGGCGTCGCGGGCGTCAGTTTTGTGGGTCCAGGTCCGTCGGTTTCGGTCCTAGGCCGTGTTCGCTAAAGGGTGGTGTGCTAAAGGGAGGTTCGTCCACCGCCGGGTAGGTTGGAGGGGGGGTTCGAGGTCTTCGGACGCTCCCATGGGTTCTCGGCGGCTTTTCTGGCCTCGGCGCGCTCTCCAGCAGCCGCGCCTCGCCGAGGGCGTTTCCGGGGGTGCCGGATTCGTCCCGAGCGGCCGCCTGAGACCCGTTTCGTGGCCCGAAATCCACCGGGCATGGGGCGGTCGGACCGAGGGATAAGATGAAGGTCGGTTCGGGGAGGGTACCCTGATGTTCTTCGTGGTTGTGGGATGTCCTCGTGCATCCTGGGGGAGGGTGCCCCCGAGTGTTCTTCAGTTTGGCGCCTCTGCTCGCTCGTTCTGCTCTCATGCGCCTCTGCTCGGCTGCTCTGGCTCATGCTCGTTCTGGTCTCGCTCCTTCTGGTCTCATGCTCGTTCTGGTCTCGTGCTTCAGTGTGGCGCCACTGCTCTGCTGCTCTGGCGTCTGGAGGGTCTCACGTCCTTGAAGGATGTTATTCTTTTCTAGGTCCGGCCGTGCGGTAGGTTCGCGTCGTGTCGACCGGCGGCGACCCCGCCGCCGGCGTTCAACGTTGAACGCCACCGGCGACCCAGAATCGGTCGACGTTGAGCGACGTGACGTTTCGGAAGCGGCCGATCGTTCAACGTTGAACGACCGCGGTGTCAGGAACCAAAGCCGGCGGTCGGCACGACACGAACCCGCGGCACGCCCCTGGCCTTTGTTTCCGTCGCGGGCTGGTTCTGCTCGTTTCCTGCTCACATGCTGGCTTGAGTGTCAGACCGATGTTGTGTCAGCCTTTTCGATTGCGTGCTTATCACGGACGGGGCTAGGACTAGGAAAAATCCGAACTGGAGCGTTCCAGAACGCCTTCAGAGCGTTCCAGAACGCTCTGAGAAGGCCGCGACGCCCGGTACATCCTCCAGGGCCGCCGAATCTCAGAGGTTCTCGATTGATCCCCGCCGGAATGTATGGCCCTGCTCCTGGCTTCGTCTTCTTCTCCGGCTGCCTACCCGGTGGCGATGGCATTAGGTCGGGCCTGTCCCCCTACCATGGGATTTTGAACGAAAAAAGAAAATAGTCAAAACAATTTCAAAAGTTATAAAAAAGCAACAGCAATCGTCCCCAGACTATTTTTCAACTGTTTTTGAATGTTCCTCCTGTAGAGGGACATGCCCGACTTACGCCTTTGCGCGCGTTGTCCGCGCGCTCTCTCCCTTTCTCTCTCTATCCGTCCCTCTCCCCTCATCTCCTCTACAATCACAAATTGCGAGGCGGGGATGTCTCCGTATCCACCGCCTGGGAACCGACGCCCTGGACATGGATACATTTTGGCCGCCGCCCGCAGTCGGTGCGCCTCTGGCGGCACGCCCTGGCGGCCCTCCCGGCGGTGCCCGGCTGCTGCCGCCCGCCCATGGGGCCGCCTGTCGCGCGCCGCGGCCCCTGGGCTGGGCCGGCGGCCGTGGCGCGCTCTGCCGCCAGCGCCCGGGTCGCCACAGCTGCCCCAGCTGCGCCGCTGCTGCTCTCGGCGGCGAGCGGGGGGGGGGCGAGAAGGACAAGGCCTTCTCGGAGAGCGGCGGGGCTTCTCAGAAGGCCTTCGGCCTTCCGAGAGGCTTTCTGCGTCCTCGGGGAAGGCTCAGACAATTTCTCTGAAGGCCAGGGGGGCTTCCGAGCTTTCTGAGAAGGCCCGCCCCGTCTCTGTTCGCCCCCAGGCTCTCCGCCGAGCTCGTCTCTCGAAGATCCAACTTTCGGAGGTCCGCGCGACTTCCGATTATGCGCAGCGACCACCTTCAGCCTACCTCGCCCAACCGCATCTGTTTCAGCTGCTCGGTGACGCCGCCTGCGCGGAAGTTGAAGCCGATGACGCTCGTGGCCTCTGAGAGGAGCAGGAAGCGGCATACGCATAAACCTTCCGGAGGTCCGCGCGGATGTTCTGGATCTGCGCTGGACCCCCCTCCTGGCGCGCGGAGCGCGCCAGCTGCCGCGCCGGAGGTGCCGCCAAGGGGGCCAAGCGCAGATCCAAGAAAGCCCCGCGGACCCCCCGAACGTCAAGGGAGGAAAACCCACCCGGACCCGACAGGCGACGTTTGCGAAACGGCCCTGGGCGCTTACTGGACATCTCTGCCCTGTTTGATTCCTTCTTGGGGTGCGTTTGCTGAACGGCTGAACAGCTTCGCGAGTCGGGGCGATTATTATGGGGATGGATTTTCTGCCCTCTAGAAAGTGCATGCTGATGCAGCCTGCTCTTCTCCGACTCTGCTGCCCTCGTGCCTGGAGGGCGGCGCCAGAGGCGCCGCCAAGGGGGCGTCCAGCGCTGGCCACGCTCTCCACGGTCTCAAGTCGAGGCTAACCCATCGAGTGGCTGGGCTTCGACTGAACGCCAGGCAGGATGCGTTCTCTGATTGCCCTCATGCTCCTCCTGCTCCCCTTCGTCGTTCGCCCCCGCCTCTTGCGCATCCTTCTCCTCCTGGTGTTCGACGCCTGCAGTGTCCCCAGATCCCGGCATGCGGGGTCGGCGGTCACTTTGATGAAGAAGGATGCTTGGAAGGACATCAAGGACAGGAGGGACAAAAGGGTCGACAATGCTTTCCTTATTCGCTGCTATTACGTGCAGCTTGTACTTTTTTTGGGAATGTGGAGGCGGCGCAGCCCTTACGCCATGTTCCGGAGGTGGGCGATGCCCGCTGCTGTTGCCGCTGCTGCCTCTCCGCCTCAGTACCCCCGCTTTTGTTGCCCTCCATTGTGTGGATGGCTAGAGCATCTAGTTCGCTGGCAGGTCGCACCCGTTTGTGCAAGGCCCGTTGATCGGCGGCGAGCGAGAGGGGGAAGTGAGGAGGAGATGGCCTTCTCAGAGGGCGGCGGGACTTCTCAGAAGCCCTCGCGCCTTCTGAGAGGTTTTCTTTGTCTTCGGGGAAGGCTTAAAGAACTTTTCAGAAGGCGGGGGGACTTCCGAGCCTTCTGAGAAGGCCCGCCCCTTCTCACTTCCCCCCCGGGCGCGCCGCCAAGTTGAGATTCTGGATTTTTGGGAGCAGTGGTTGGGAGGCCCTTGATTTCTGGCTCCGTGCAGATGTGGAGGGCCTGGCTTCCCAGA